GGCCTTCAAAAGTCATTAGACTCGATGCACATGAACAAATCTTAGAAAGTGAACTTTGTAAATAAGAAGTCACCATAAATACAAAGTCCTATAGTTCCTTCCTATATTATACCTGTATACCTTGGCCAGGTCAAAAACCTCCACCTATCAATATCTTATAGTTTGGTTATATCTTTGGAAGCCCTCCACATAGCTTTTAAAATCTTCTCATCCAAAATGTGCAATTTATGGAAGAGCAAACCCCCTGGATTGCATGTAATATATAATCTATTTAGAGATATTTATTGCATCCCGAACTCCGCTAAACAGGACTTTGTGGTTCAGCCAAGATTTATCGGCTCATTCCGTTCGCTTTCTGGTTGTCATCGCATCCGCGGGGTACCATCCTCAGTACAGCCAACTCCAGAGGCAGTGTGCTGCTGGCCCAGAAAGCTGAGACCGAAACTGAAACAAAACAAAACACACATCCTTCATATCGCACATGGTCCATCCGCAATCCTTCGTCGCGATTCCTCCTCCTCAGTGGAGAGGAGAAGCTCGAAGGGCTGTTGCTGCTGCTCCTGCGTTTGTCGTCTCCAAAAATAACTAACCCCCTGATGAGAGAGCATGGGCCACACGCCACTTTTGTGTGGGGGGGATTGGTTATAGTAAATGGCAAAATGGAATGCTTGGACATGAACAGAACGGAGAAGCAGCCAGAGAAACACGGCTACACCGGTTACACCGACTGCGGAAAAATCAGCAAATACGCCTGTATTTTTTGGACAGACAGCCCTTCAGCATCCCCACCAACCACTCCACTCACCCCACCTCCTCCCCCTCACTTTTCAGGCGCCAGCCACCCCCGAAAATTGCCACCCACCTTGCATACACGCAGGAAAATGATTAACCCATGTTGCGACCATAGGCATTTGCTATAGCAATGCGAAACGAGAGAGTGCGCTGCAGTCGAGTGCTGCGACTTCAGGATACCCATTACTGTATGTATGATTGAAATGTGTGAATGATGTTCATTTATTTATTTCTGTATAACTTTGAGGAACAGCCATTGGCAGCATCAACAAGTTCTTTGCTTATTTTTATCACTTTTGTTTAATTTTATTTTTTTTTTAAACTTCCATACAAACTGCATTTGCTAGTTGTTGTTGTTCTTCTTCTATTCCTTGGTGTTTAATTTTGTTAAGCGATAAGTTTAATCATTCAGAAATGGGGATGACTTTATCTGACCGGAAATCTTTATCATCCGGAAAATGTGGGGGTTGGTCGCACTCAACGAGACTTTAAACTTTTAAAGTCTAATACCTCTAATACGGGGATGACATTTATCTAGCTTTTTATCAGGGTCTGGTAGGACCAAAAAAATAAACGAAAAATTGATTCAAGCGTCCTTTTTCAATTAAATTATATTTGACTGAACGTTGGGCACAGTTATATTTGAAATTTAATTAAATTAAGAAATAAAATGGCAGTTGGCCAGTAAGAATTTTCATGAAAATATATTTTTTTAAGAGCAAATTTCATACTTTCACAACTGGACCTGGGCCAAAAAATCGAATTGTTGGGCTTTTCATGTTTGCCAACTCCAGCTTTCAAATTTCATAAATTCGATTTTCCCGAACCCAAAAAGGTTAATTAAGTTATGAGTGCATTGATTTATTCCATTTGATGATATAATGGACTCATGATTCAATGAAAGTGATTGAAAAATTATCGAACGAACCAAAGCATCCATTAAAATTCATTTGACTAATCGGTGGATTCGCCTTTCCATTATGCAATTGAAGTGAATTATTTTGTGGAACGAGGCTCATTCCAAATTCCAATTTTCCGTCGGCTGTCAAACTGTGAACTACATTTGTAGTTTCTCTTCGTTTTGTGTGCTTATTATGCTGTGTCTACAATTTGGCAAAATTACAAACCAAACAGTAAAATCAGCAGTATGTGAGTGTGTGCGTGTGTCAGAAAGAAATCAGTAAATATATATATTTAAATATATGTATATATATATTATACAAACATATATAGATAGATGAGTGTAGCCAGATGGAAAGACAAGTGTGTGCACCGGGAAAATTTATAACAAAGTATAACAAGTATTTATTTTACTTATAATTGCCTTCCAAGATGAAAAACATACGACTTTTATGTTTTTAGATTCATATTGTAAAAACTCGTCATACTTTTCAATCGGAAAACCATTTATGTAATTCTATGCGCTTGGTATAGTTTTAAGTTTGTAAATCCTAAGATTTACAAAATTAATAACGTTTTATTAACATGGTTTTAGCAAAAATGGTTGAAATTTTTAACATCAAATATGGAATATGTCAGTTTTATATATTATTTTTAGTTTTTTTAGACAATGGAAAAATATGCAAAAAATGCTTACCGCAATTTGTTGTTGCCAGCGCGACGCTGGCTGCAGTCGGCCGTCGCTGCTGACGCCGCTGCTTCTTCGGCTGCTGCGGTCGCAAGAGAAAAAAGTTGGCAACTTTTGATGTTTGTTGTTTTGGCTGCTCGTTTTTTGGTTATTCCTTTTTCTTGGCTTCGTTTAACGATTTTCACCGATCCGCTGCTTTTTGCAATACTTTATGGCCTTTATTTTAAGCTGCTTTGCTGCTTCGGTTGCACTTTAACACACAAAATTCCAAAACATTAAAAAAATATAGAGAAAAATACATTTCACGCTTGGTTTCACTAGCATTATTGTTTTTAGTTATTTGTTATTCGTGTTGTTTTGCTTTTACACTTTCTCGTTCGCGAAAGTAAACTGAGATGGAGGTAGATAGAAAGAATGAGAGATAATAAGAGCGACTAAATTAGCCACATTTCATAGAATTTGGTTGTTTGTGCATAGCTATCATTTATAAGTTAAATTGCTGCTCATATCATTTCTAGAATAATACCTTAATTATCAACCAAATCCTTCAAATGACAATGCAAAATGTTTATCATGTACAACCAAACTCTATGCAAAACTAAGCGAATTATGCCCACTCGAAATTTAAACACGTTCACGGAAATAAAGTACAACTATCATTACAAATGGGCTTTCTCTCTAGCTTTATTGTACCAAGTAGTGAGTTAATGGCCCCATAAGAACATTTTTCAGTCAGCGTTTAATGTGCCCATAAAAGTGCAGTTATTTTGTAATTTAAGCAGAATTTATTCAGTTCCTTAGCCTCTGAAAACCCGAAAGATAATTCATTAATCGGCCCTAAATTATTATATATCTTCCAATATTTAAAACTTAGAACCTTTAAAAAACTAGACACCTTTAAAAGCCAACGTGTTTGAAATCTATCTCCGATATACTCAAATGTTTCCTTTCAATTTCGGGCACTCCGATCCAGGATGCTGCTAATTACTAGGGAAGCTTCTGGGATTCGCTTAATCTCGTTTTCATCTTCGTCGTTAGCCGAGTACCGAGTAACGGTATCGGATGGTATCGAGTACCGGTACCAAATACCGAGCACCGTTAGGCAGCTGCTTTTAATGAGCCTGAACTTTCACACCGCTGCAGCGGAATGTAAAACTATTATGCACACGGGAAAAAACAAATGCCCAAGTCATTGGAAAAAAGTAATTTAAAAATATTCTCTTTTAAGAATCATTTTTTAATTAAGATAAGTAATTTTTTAACTTAGAATAATAATAAATAAACATGTTCTAGATATTAACTGAAAGAATACTTTTCTTTCTAGTTACACAGAAACCTTGGCAGAAATGCTCAATCGATTTGCAATTTTGTAGTGATCAACTGGAAATGGCGAGGATTAAATGACTTTAATTATGTTATTGAGGCCCCTTCTACTTTTACTTTTCTTTCTGTGTAGCGCCGACGGCCTTGGCGACTAATTACCGGCGACCGGTAATGCGGTCGCTGCGCCGTCGACGCTACGTGGGCGGCGCAACCCTAATCCCGCTCGAACGGATTAAGTCGATGATGCTGGAATGGAATGGCTTCGGCTGCAGGTGAATCGATAAATGGAAATCGCTACTCCCGCCTTCCTCTCTCACACTCTCTCTCACTATCTCCGCTACTCTTTGCCTTCTTCTTTCTTTTGCTTTCTGTTTACACTTATTTACCATTCAGTTTTTGCTGCTTTTCCGCTTTACACACAAGCACACACACATAGACGCGGTTATGTAGAACAACCACTGAAGCACCGTTAGGCCATCAGCATCCAAAGAAATTGGAATTGTCTTGCCGCTACCGATGCCGGCGTCGCAGTCGCTGTCTGCTTCGACGTCGGCGTCCTCATGTTGTTGTTCTTGTACTTCTTGTACGCTGCTGCTTCTTCTTCCTTCATTTGCCTTTTCCCATGGAATTTACACACAAGATTTTGTGTTTACGTTCTTGTGCCGCGATTTAAGTACTGTTATAACTTTTGCCTGTCATCACTAGTTTGCTTTTCTTGTGTTGTTTATTTTTGAGCTTTTGCATAAATTTCCGGCTAACAAATATATATATTTTCGTTTGTTTTATTTATGCACCGCGCAGTTCTTATTGTTGTTGCCGTTTCTTGCGGCAGAGATGCGACGCGCACGCAGCGTCGTCTATGGAGAAAAATAAAAGAGAAAGCGCCCGCTCAGCTCAGCCAGTCTCTGTTGACCGCGCGGTCGGCGAGCTTTCTTGCAACTGATTTTCGAGTTTTCACGCGAAACTTTCGATTTCCTTTTCCCGATAACGAAGGACGATAGACGTCATCCGATATCGATAGCCCAATAGAAAGCAGCTGTCGGAAATGCAATGGCTCCACTGTAGTAGTTGGGGCAGACTGAGCGCTACATTCAAATCTAACAAAAAATCTTTTGAAATTAATAAACCCATATTTTTTTATGAATGTGCGAGGCTTAGGGACGTTTGGATAAAGGTATGGTCGGATCGAAGGTATGGTTTTGGCATAAATAAGAACAATATTAGGTTCAAACATTAGTAGTAATTTGAAAGCCTCAGGCATTTTCGAAGCATATTTACCAAATGAAAATACACTTACTATATCTAAATATTTATTTGTCTATACTTTACAATTAATAGATATGTATGAAATTATTTGTTCAATGATTTTGTATCGTAGAACCCTTATAGCTTGATTTTCACTAGTTAATGGTATTTTTAATGAAAAAAAAAACTAAATTAATTTTCTAACACTACGACTTAATCACTAAACAAGATTAAACTACTTATAGCTAGAGGCATATCACAAACGGCTAGACATAGGGATTCCAATTACTGCCGTCCTCCGGCAACAAATTGTTGGTAATCAGCAGGATTACGTCAATGATCCACCAGACACCCACGCCGCCCATGGTGAGGAGTTTGCCCACAGCAGTGCCCGTTTGGCCGAGACAGAAGCGATCCATCCCGAGGAAACCCAGCAGCATGCTGTAGATCAGGGTGGTCACAAAGTAGTGATCCGTGTAGCGGACACAGGGCACTCCGGCGCGCAGGAAAGTGCGATTCCCGTAGCACTCGATGTCGGCAAACACGGTGCACCAAACCATGGCATGCTCCACCTCCTCGTACGTGGATCCACCGAACTTCAGGCAGCCGTACTTCTTTTCCTGCTGTGCGGTGGCGTTCTCCCGATGATCGACGGGATCCTTGCAGTCGAGAAAGTCGCGCGGCAGAAACGAGCACATCACATTCGGTCCCAGTGGATAGAAGGCCGAACTTCCAGCTGCGCCGGAGGAGGAAGACGCGGACGATGATGAGGAGGGTCCCATACCGGAGCCCAGTTGCGCCTGCACAGGCACCACCGATTGCACCGCTGTGCCGGACACCACCGTCTGCGGCTGCTCCTTGTCGCTGCGTGCCTGGATCGCTCGAACGCCGGGTTGGCTGGCCATCAGGAACGCCAGAAATCCGTAGAAAATCCGCATCTTTGCGAGCTCCTTATCAAAATATAGCTTGCCAGTGTAGCCACACCTTGGCTCTGTTAACAGAGCTCTGTTATCTGCGTGGCCTATCGATAGTTCTGTTATTCAGCACCTCGACTACGAATAAAAATAAATAAGATAAGTTCCAAGCTTTCCAGCATGCAAATAAAAGTGCTCTTTGAAATAAATACATATACATAATTAAATGTAATACGTTTATTAATCTAACTTCGCGTAACGACCAAGTTACCTATCACGCGCCCATCTCTACATTCGATAGCCCGTTGCATTGGTGTGCACACACTGGTCGCGTAATCAGCGGGCGCGAACCATTTTCTTTTTTTTTTGTAAAGAACAAACACGGCCAGTACGAAAATAACAACGGAGCAGAGAGCCCGTTTAATACGATTCGTCATTTTCCACCATTTTGCTTCTGTGATTTGTTTGAATTTTGCTGTGTCAGCGCGTTGGAAATTCGTTGGACATCAACAATGAAGCTACTGCTCCTGGTGGCCATCGCGGCCTCCGTGGCGGCACTCACCTCCGGTGAGCCGTCGTTCCTCTCGGATGAGTTCATCGAGTTGGTGCGCAGTAAGGCCAAAACCTGGACGGTAATTCCTTTGTTAATTACTTTGTTTTTCCTCCCACCTGCTGACGTGACAAGAAAATTACATTTTGCCGTATTTTATCCGCCAGGTGGGTCGCAATTTCGATTCATCCGTAACGGAAGGATACATCCGCCGCCTGATGGGCGTCCATCCGGATGCACACAAGTTCGCACTGGCCGATAAGCGCGAAGTTCTTGGCGATCTATACATGAATACCGTGGACCAGATACCCGAGGAGTTTGATTCCCGAAAGCAGTGGCCAAACTGCCCAACCATTGGCGAAATTCGCGACCAGGGAGAATGCGGCTCCTGCTGGGCCTTTGGAGCTGTGGAAGCCATGTCCGATCGCGTATGTAGCTTATCTTATCGATTTTATGGCCCCTTATTCTCTTTGTTTGGCCAGTTGATATATATACATATATCGCTTTTTTTTTTGTATTTATTCTGAACGATTTTTACCGATTTCGCAATGGGCAGGTGTGCATCCATTCCGGCGGCAAGGTGAACTTCCACTTTTCGGCCGATGATCTGGTGTCCTGCTGCCACACCTGCGGATTTGGCTGCAACGGCGGATTCCCCGGCGCCGCCTGGAGCTATTGGACGCGCAAGGGAATCGTCAGCGGCGGACCCTACGGATCTAATCAGGTTGGTGATCTGCTCCTGCTTTTTCGTCCCTCCTCAAAGGGATTTTGTAAATCATAAATGTAGGTTTAAGTGGGTTCGGCAGCTGGTTTGGCTTGCAGATGTGTTTCGAATATGTAAAAAAATGTACCATGAATGATTATTATTATGAATATGTACCACTGAAAGGTAAGAAAGAAAAGAAAACAATCCTTTATGTGCATAAGTTTCCTGTATTTATTCGTAGTATATTTCTACGCAGAAATGGTTTGAAAGCAACATTTTTTTGTTCTTTGTTTACGTGAAGTTATCGACCAAAATTACGACGCCATTAAAAATAATTATATACAAAAGATATCGCTAGAAAGCAGCTTAGTACATTTATCATACACAGACATCATATACATACAAACACAGAGGCTATATATTGCGAATGCACTCCAGATTTGCATTCATTCTCAACGATATGATGATTTTCAGTGACCAACACATATTTTAAACCAAATTCCTAGATTAAGGGAAGCCATGAAATAAAAACGTTTCTAATATGCACTTTTTTGCAGGGCTGCCGTCCTTACGAGATTGCTCCCTGTGAGCACCACGTGAATGGAACCCGACCTCCATGTGGCCATGGCGGTGGAACGCCCAAGTGCTCGCACGTGTGCGAGAGCGGTTACACAGTGGATTACGCCAAGGACAAGCACTTCGGCTCCAAGTCGTACTCGGTGAAGCGCAATGTGCGCGACATTCAGGAGGAGATCATGACCAATGGACCGGTTGAGGGCGCCTTCACCGTTTATGAGGATCTCATTCTGTACAAGGACGGCGTCTATCAGCACCAGCATGGCAAGGAGCTTGGCGGTCATGCCATTCGCATTTTGGGCTGGGGCGTTTGGGGCGAGGAGAAGATCCCCTATTGGCTCATTGGCAACTCGTGGAACACTGACTGGGGCGATAATGGATTCTTCCGCATTCTGCGTGGCCAGGATCACTGCGGCATCGAGAGCTCCATTTCGGCGGGTCTGCCCAAGCTGTAGATGTTATATGTACTCCGGCATTGCGCTGATATGAAATCCCTCTATTTTCTATCATCCCCCTTTTTATTTCCATTCCAATTCGCAACTGACGTTTGTAGTTAATGTAAACAACTAAACCTGATTGATAATAAAGTATTGTATATGACTGTGGAACTGAACTTTGCCTCACCGACCTCTACACAGTGGGACCTTCGTAACTAAAAAGAAAGTTGTGATGAAAAGGTTATCAAAGTGAATATAGTATAATTAAACGCAAATCAAACAGAAGTAAATGGGTTTACTATTTGCCTTTTCTATTTTTCCACGATAATAGTAAGTATACTATGTACACATTTAAATGGATTGGCTGGCATTCGTTCTGTTTTTCAGCACTCGGACAACATTAAACTGGGTAGCTGTTCGTTTTGCGAGTTATAATGTGATTAGCAACTCACTTGATTAATCAAACAAAGAGTACAGCTTGCATTCGCATTCGTCATGTGGGGCGATTTTGTTGATTAAAGTCATTATTTATTTATTATAAAACTCAACTTGTTAACTAATCAGAGAGAGTCACTAAACATATTTTCGTTAGCTCATGTATATAGAAGTTATCTTGTTGAAGCTGCCCACAATTTTCCGTACCAAATGTCCATTCCCTGGGCTCAATTTGTACACATATCTTTTCACATAACATGTTTTATTTATTTTTCTCATTTGCAACATCAAATAGAACATTTGTTTTTTATTTCACTTTTGTTATCTTGCCATGAACCGCTTTCTTATCGATTTTCTGTGAATTGATTGACACTATTCACTGAAACTCGATATTTTTCTAACAAACAGCTTACATCGAAAAATATTTGTTACTGTCATATTTCAATTGGTTTACTCTTGTTATTTGTCATAGTCCAATTTCAACTATTGGCTTAAAAATCTCTTCATTTTGGGTAGGTTTACATTATATCTGTATGTATGTATAATATATAATATATTCATTTCCGTGGAATCAGCTCAGCTTAATTTTTGTTGTGTTGTAATTCTTGCTTTGCTTTATTTTTTTAGGATTTTGTAAATAGATTGCATTTGGCTTGCTCCTCATTTTTTGTTCTTCGGTTTGTAGATTTTTTTTGTCAATAAATAATTTCATATATTTTTCGCTATTCGCTTCGCTCTCCTTACAATTGTTTACTGAATTCGTATTTGTTATTCCTGGACTTTTGCGCTTAATAATTAAATACATAGCCATGCGGTCATATATTTACCTATGTACGTAAACCTTAGCTTCTCGTTCGGTTAAACATTTCCATTGTTTTCAGTGTTTTGTTCTTTGATTATATTTTCTGCATTAGTCATCGTCAACTTGTGTGGGGGCTTTAGCTTATCATCTAAATGGTGGGTTCTCAAAATATCAACGCTCTATTGGCTTTGGGAGTTCTTATTTCGACTGAGGAAAAGAGGGAGGTGTACGATGTAGAGTTTTAGAAATTGCAGCGCTAAATCAAGAGTAAGTAAACCAATCGGTATGAAATATTAGAAACACACAGAGCAAGCACTAAAATGTCATTGTGTGAAATCTGAAGCCATTTGAGTTGTCCACTTCTAATACTTCAGCTTAATTCTGCTTAGGTGGGGAGTTTATGTAAAACTAAAGGATTATTCCAATTTTCAACACAAATAACGATTATCTCTCGCAAAAATAAAGTGATATGGACAGCATTAAACACATAGGATAAGCTCAAGTATTCTATTCTGAGAAGTTGAACGAATTATTCATTTACAAATAGATCTAGTTGGAAAGGAAGTCGGCCCGGACTTATAGTAAATGTATAGCAAAAATGGCCTTAATGTACCAGCTAAATAGACATACATTTACCCTTTGACTCTATGAGTATCTGGTGTGTTATTTAATAGGACGACTTGCTTCTAAACTTCTGTTTACCTCGTTCTTGAACCTTGAATTACTCATCTATATAGGATATACTTTTCATAGGTTGAGATTCGTCTTAAAATCTATAAGATCTTCCATCAGTTTTCAGTTTAATTCTTGCTACAAATGAAAAAACAAAATAAAATATTGCTAAAAATCGACTGAAGTGGAGGAAACGTATAGAGGAACGTATAGCCGGACAATACTTTAATCGGAACACTTTTTCAGTTAGCAAGCTTCAAAAGACCTTAATGTAGTTGCGCTATATAAATATACAGTATACATACAATTACACTCTTCTCGTTACAACTATCGATTTAAACTCTTTAATTTGCATTTACTTTTCAGTTTAGGAAGTATCTTAACCGCCTAACTCAACTAACTTTGGCTTAGGTAAACCTAAACGGATCGAACAGATTACAGATTACATACACATATATATCTTATATCATCTTATTCGTAAGGTCCCATTTGTACCTTCAATTCTGGTTATGTGGCTTACATCAGAGTTTTCTTTAGCTTACAAGATGCGTGAGAGTTTTTAGTTAACTTGCGTGGACAGCCCATAATTGGGGGTTTGCATACATAGTGGTGTATATATATATAGATGTATATATATTACTATATGGGTCAGATTCCATGCCCGTTAATCTTCAGGTCGCCATGAGTTGTTTGTATAGGTTTTAAAGTTTTCGGCTTGAACGCATCTCAATTCGAACTCGAACTCAACTTTGGTTTCGGTTTTAGTTTTGGTTTTGGTTTTGGTAGTTTGGTATCACAAAATCGGGTTTTACGTTTACACAATATCCAATAGTTTCTGTTTTTTTCTTTCCGAAATGTCTTTTCTTTTCGAATAACAATTTTAGTAGTGATAAATATATATTTTGCTGTTTTTTCTTTTCTTTTTAAATAACTTTTTGGTAGCGAAAGACTATCACAATTATGGAGATTTGAAATTTTTCGGGCCAGTTAAAGAGATTGTATTCAATTTCATGAAGTTTTAACATTTAAGTTTCTTCTTAAGAACCGATTTCTTGTTTATTTCTGTCAATTTTACACGCACATACACATACATATATCTATAGATATAGTTTTACGTTTTTGTTTGGTTCACGGAAGCCGTTAATTTATACTTTTGTAGTGAGTGGTTGTTTCTCGAGAAATGCATCTAACTTGCCTTTTGATTTTGCAACTCTATCCGCGCCCCTCGCTTCTCTTAGTTGTATCTTTAATCATTGGGAGATCTTCGGTTTCGGTTTTAGTAGTTTGTCCTTCAGTTGTTGTACATATGTACCTCACTTGGTTTGTTGAACTTGGTTCGCTTGCATATGTTAAACGGTTCTATATTCTGAATACATCCTTGTATATATAATTTTTCTTGTATTTAGTATATAGCTTTGCGATCGGCTTTTGTTTCGTGTAGTTTTCAATGTTTTTTAATGCTTTTTAAGTGGTTTGAAAAACCATCAAACAACAGGAGGAAACAGTCTTTCTTTCCAGGTACCTAAGGGTAAATATGATACAAACACATTAATAAACCAATTCATATTGAGAAATGGGGATATATCGTCGATAAGCACTGGTACCATCAAATTCCCTGGCAACTCAGAATTCTTCAGAAAGGTGTTTAAAAGTCCGCTGCACACATTGCAATGCATTGGATAAAATAAAGAGTTGCATACTTTTAGACACCCATTTTGGTAATTTCAAGTCACCAGACATTTCTAGCACCGCTGATCTTAATTTCAAACTACTTTAGAGTTCAGTAACATATCACCCCTATGACTAGTCGATTTTCGAATATAGATATGCAACTTAAACGTATTAGAATTTGTGCTTTATACGCATACTCACCGCGTGACACATTTGACTTTCGTTAAATGTTGTACAATTGTTTTTTACTCATTTGCAAATTTGGTATTCGATATATATATGTATATATTACACCATTAACTTTCATTATATCGCGCATAGTATATAAATATATATATTTATATGGTATATACACAGATGTGGCATATGGAGGCATCGGTCTTGTTGTCCATTGGCTCTATACATGTTTTTCGCTATTTCGAGGGGATTTCTATTGGGGTTTTCTGAGTACATTGGTTTCACTTCTATCTGATGGATCGATCTATATAGCTGCATCTGCATCTCTGCTGCTCTAGTGGTGGCTCAGGTAGGTCTTGCGCTTCAGGTAACCACTGCGTATGGGTGATGAGAGTCCCGTCTCGTTGCTGTGTTTATCGATGGCAGACAGGGTCGATGGCAGTGTGTGCGTGTGAGGTGTGTGTGTTGGTGTGTTTTTCAGGCAAATTTGGGATATTTTATTTTGTTTGGAAAAAGAAAGACAGAGTTAACGTTGAGAAAGAGTTGAATTTTGGCACTAAGTGTGGTTTGGATGTGGAAACGTTTCTAGGATCGATATTTATCAAATTTCCCCCACCTCTAGTGGGGGTTTATCAATTTTGATTCTTTTTTCACAACACCAATCAATCAATCAATAAAATGCTCAGCTAGGTATGCTTCAAAATACTTAACAAAGGAACTGATAAATTGTGTGGGGAGTATGGGATATTCTAGAGCACTAATTCTAACATCAATTGTCTGTATTGTTTTGGTTTTTTACGCTTCTATCTGTTTACAAGATGCTTTAAGTGTTGTTTTTTTATTGCTCTAAACAATTTGTTTGCTTAAATTGTAACTCAATTTTCATTCGTTGCTTGTTCATGCAGCCTGATGGTGTATTTGGCGTGAGGTATATTTGTCGGCGTGGTGAGTTTTGAACAGCGTGGTGGGTTTTGAAGGCCGTGAAGCATTAAGCGTTTTTGTTGTATTATTATTATTATTTGTTTGTATTGGTTATCCGTAAATCAAGGAACAAACAAAGAAAAGATAAAAATCGTAATCGAAACATTATAAATCATATATATATACTATGTAAGATATATATATCCAACAGGCCCATTTAACTGTACGCCTTTTTTTATTTGCTACTAAATACTGGCGCACGTATTTTTTTATGTTTTGTTGCATTTTGGCTTTTGTTCGCAATCAAAATAATATCATACAAATACAAATTAACATAGTACATGAATGCAATAATAATAATAATAATCATAATGGTATATAGCTTATAGCATAAATAATACGGCATTTGTTCTACAAGAAACTTAAAAATGTAAAATAAAGTACAATACGATTCGTGAAGGACTAGTTTTGAGAAGATTGGTGAGACACACAGATTGCTTCTAGTACTTTTACGCTGGTGATTAACTTAAAAACATACACAAAAATATGTATTTTCATCTATGCAAGTTTCCTAGGCAGCTGGCGTGTCCTTTTCAATGGCATTCTCAATCAGTTGGGCCAGTAGGATGTGGTTGCTGCTGCTGGGACTGTTGATGTTGCTGCTGCAGGGACTGATGTTGGCCAACTGCAGCTCGAAAGCATTGCTGCTGATTGTCACGGCAAGGGAAAAGGACATGATTAGGTAGGTTGGAACTGGAGGTTTGCGAATTGGCAAGAGATTACTCGTTCCGAAGAAGGCGCACACAACAACGTTTAGTGGGTATGGGAATGCTGGATGGGTTATCACTGCATCGTCTCGATGGCAAAGCAAGAAACAAGGCTGGCTGACAAAATAAGCAAAATAAACGCCCATGCAACCCAGAACACAAAAAAAAAAAAAACAGTGAACAACAGAAAGGTCACAGAAAATGTCTAAACACCAACAAAGCAGTTTCCAATGGAATACAGGTGTAATGCCTTCAGCTGAATCAATTTCACTCTATTACTTTGCGTACACAGATAATTCAAACATATTCTATTTCAAAATTGCGTCCGAATATGATTACTTACGATGTTTAAATATTTATAGTAACAAGTTTCATGATAAATTCAACTCTAAACTAACCCTGATTCTTCCTTTGGTAAAAAATACAAGTTATTAAAAGCTACACACCGCTACCTATAACGTATTAAACAAAGAAACCTCAATTCGTGACTTTAATATTTGCAACCCAATTTCGAATCAGCTAAAGGCAGTACACTGTGCACAAAACATATAACATTAACACATACGAATGCCTTGGCCTATTTACACTAAACACAAACACAGATACGTATATACAGCGAGGATCGGGCGTTACAGTGGGTGCGCTCTGTACAGTGGATCGTCTCAAGCAGCGACCAGCCAGTGGCATCAGCGTCTTACCTTCTGCGGCGCGGATTCGCGGTCTGGCCGGGAAGATTGAAGCATCCACGGGGAATGACCATGCGTGCATTGCCCTTCGCCGGACGCGAACCACCCACAGCCTGCAAACCGGCCAAGTGGGCGGCATAGCCATCGCTAAGCACGGTGGCATTGGACTGCAGCTTCTTGCCAACCTGTGAAGCAAACGTTTATTTGCCATAAATTCTGAACACGAAAGCTGATTGCAACTGATTACCTTGCCCACGATGAATATTTGATCGGTTCGCATGCCAACATTCGTGTAGACACTAATGTCCTTGCTGCTGCCGTAGGCGGCGGTAATTGAGATTCCATGGTTCTGCACAAGATTGTTGAGATAGGCCGTCTTGTGGCCCAATGGATCGGTGGACAGGCCGTCGGCGAACGAGATCAGGCCATGCGGGAAGTTGTGCTGGCTCAGCCAGGACACCACGCGTTGCTGCTGCATATCCGGTCGTCCGGTGATGTAGATGAGCAGGTAGCCCAGCTCCTGCCAGTGGCGGCAGACATCAACAGCTCCGGCACGTACCTTGGGATCCCTGCCCGTCACCGACATGGAAGCGGTGAAGGAGCCATCAATGCTGAAGACCACGCATTCGGTCAACGGCGGAACCACCGCCATATAGCAATCGACCGAGGTGTGATCGCCACGCACCACCATCTTTACCGGGTATATGCCATAGCCAAGGGATACCTGATCCGGAATGCTGTACGAGATGCGACCGTTCTTGTCCGTCACCTCGGTGCTGAGGAATGTCCACTCGCCCGCCGGCGGATCCTTCATAATGTGCACATCCACCTTCTCACCGTGCAGGGTGATCATGTCTAGGGGTCCGTACATAAATCTCGCATTCAATCGCTGCTCCCTGCCCTCCTGCACGATCACATCGTTGGCCCGATGATTGGCGGCCACATTTTTCAGCTTCACCGAGGTGCGTTTCTTGATCCACTTCTCCCTCGGCTGTCCCGGATGGAAGGAGGCATTGTCCTTGTCATCGTTGGAGCCCACAAAGGGTATGCCCTCGAATTTGCCAATCTGCCGAAGGATGAAGGCAATCACATCCGGACTCTCCCAGTAGCTGGCGTGGAAGAGGTGCGGCAAGGCGTGAGCCGGGAAGTTGCTCAATCCCTCCGGGCAATATAAAGCGAAATCCAAGCGCTTTGTGCCCCACCATTTGTTTTGCACTGCAGATAGAAGTGTTGAATCAGTTAGTAGGAAATACAAGTTTGGTTAAATATAGCTGCTTCTAGCGGGTAACGACGAGCTTCTTACGGGCATGGATCGTACTAAGCGAGACATTCTCAATCAGACCCGATATCGTGCTCTGCATCGATGCGTCCGACAAACGGCGACCAGCCAATAGGTTGTTGCCATCGTTGAAGTGCTGCGGATGCGACTGAATGACCTCCACTGAAAAAGAATGGCGTAAGGATCCAATACTATGGATGCTATGGATATATACTCACATAAATGCAATGGCTGACCATTTCCCAGCGGGTACTTGGCGTACCGTGGCACATTGACGGGCGCCAATATAGAAAACCGGGCGCTGAGTAGCGGCTCCAGGCGCGAGGCGATAGGATCGGTTGGATGGAACAGATTGTAGACCTGGTGGCAGTTGGGCCGCGGCAGGGCGGCTTTGGCATCGTGAAGTTTCCTTGCAGCAAGTACCACGGACAGCGGCGATCCGAACATGAAGAAATCACAGACCTCGAAGTCCAATTTGGTGGCCCGCGAATCGCTGGAGGAGCTGGAACGGCGTCTACGTGGCGATGGCGCCACCAGCAAACGCTTGGCATCCAGATCGGCTTCGATGAAACGCTCATCGTCGTCCAACCTCGAATTTCGAGCGCTCAACGGATTGTGGGTATTCATATTTGTGGCTGCATCTCCACCGGAATTCGAGGCGCCCGAAGCCGTGCCCGGTTGGCTACCATTTGATCGGCAGAGAGCCTCGTACGCCAGCAGCGAGCCCATCGAATCGCCCAGCATGACAATCTGGCCGGAGAATCCGTGTCCCTCCTCCGATTTCAAAAACTCATGGTAGACAATATTGGCAGCGGCAACCGTCTTGTTGACCGTCTCGTGGAATTCTGGCGATGCAACGGATAACAGCGGTATGGCTCCAATAGGGACATCGGCTATATTCGGTATATCCGCCGCCGAGGGCGATGCATCAAAGGAGTACGGACTCAGGCTGGAGAGAATGCCCAAGGCGTCGGTGCAAATTGAGGGGCACGGCACCATTTTGATGGTCACATGAGTGAGAAGGCTGGGATAGTGCTGCCGCATCACCGCCTCGAAGGAGCCACGGAAAGTGGTCACATCGGATTTCTTGGCGGTCAGCTCGCTAGCCGCATCCAGAACGCTGCCCGCATGGACCACCAGGATCAGAATGGTTGTGGGGCAAGACGGCGTGCTCGGTGATCCCGGCGGTGACGAATCGTGGCTGCGATCCACGCTGGCCGAGGAGCGTAACTGGCGCTTGTTACCGCGCTCCGAGGCCACGCGCATCAAGAAGTCCTGATTGAATATGCTGTCCTCTTGCCGCGAGTTGCCCCGCCCACCCACGGATGCTGAACTAGAGGGTCCGCCATGTGGCGGCGGACTGTCGTCGCCCTCGCCCAGCAGCTCCAGCGAGCTCCACTTGGCCAGCGAGTTCGTCTCATTGGTGTCTAAAATTGAAATTAAAATTAGTTGTATACCCATCGAAAAGAATTCGCGGCTTTGAGGGCAAACAGTGGCAAGCGTTGTCATAAAGAATACGCGAATTCTTTATGTAAATCAAAGTTGGCTAATGCTTACCTAGGCAATCAAAGAATTCCTCATCCGAATTGGATTTGGAGTCCACTTCCAATCGCTCCATACGCCAGTTTGCCACCTGAGGTGTGCATAAATTGAATTAGTACTTGTATATAAACACTATGGCTGTTCAGATTGTTTATTTATAGGCATGTATATGCTATATACTCGTATGTACAAATATCTCTTCAAATCTCTTCTACAAAAAAACGGCATTGAGGGGCTAAGCTAAGCAAATAGAACTTGGCTAATCAAAAACTGCGACTAAGCAAATTACTAAAGGAACGGGGAGGGGGAGGAAGGGGCTTTTATAGGGGGCATTGGAGGTTTTATACTATTTATAATGACGCGCTATTAGCTGGGCGATTATTAGGTATGAAAAAGAAAGAGAAGGGCATAAAGGGAGCGACAGAGAGGGCGAGAGGAACTTACATGTCTGCGTTGCGCTGTCTTTGCATGCGGCTTTTTGGACTGATTTTGGATTGTTTTCGGTTTTGGTGGGTGTAATTTAATTGTTATTTTTGTTGTTATATATTCAATTTATTTTGTTTTATTGATTTGTGTAGATTGTGTTGTAGTTGTTGTCGTTGGATCGTGTTGGATGGAAGGTAAATTAAAGATTATTTGGTAAGACGCAGCACACTTAAAGGACACAGCGACACACAACACACAGAAAACAGAACACAGTGACAGAATAAAGGTGTTTTCGAAGGTAATTATTGAAAACTGAATTAAAATGTAACTTTTAGTGCAGCAAAAAATTGCACTTTAAACTTGAAACGCATTGAACATCGAGTAAAACGAGTTTTGCCAATCAGAAAGACGCAGCAATTTTGTTTCAGTAAGCAATTATGATGGTTATTCTTGTTCTATAAAAAAATCTAGTGTTATCTTTAAAAGTAAGCTTTTTAATGACAAAAATCCCCGACTTTTCAGTCATGTTAAAGTATTTGCCCAGTTAACACACAAAATCCACATCAAAAACGAGCAAAAGACACAGGACAAATAGAATGGACCATCTGGTCGTGCTCACCTGGAGATCAAAGCTGTGGGCAGATCCCACCGGCGAGTGAAGGGCGCCCTTTGACCCAAACTTGCCCTTCTGGGCCATCTGAATACTTTGGGAGCGCGAGCGCTGCGCGGATCCGCCTTGGTTGGCGGACAGATCCACGCCCGTGCCAATGGCATCGTTCTCGTCCTCGTCGTCATCCTCCTCCTCGCCCTCCTCATCCGAACTGGCCTCGGCGCTCGGCGGCTGCTGGGTGACAATCGGCGGTACAGCCGGAGCGGACTTCTTTCGCTCGCTGCCCGTTGTGGAGGCGGCGGTGGCCGCCGTGCTGACGTACGGCTCCGAGATGCTGTCTGGAATGTATTAATAAAAGTAATAAATACATTGATACATTGGTTCATTTTCTAGTAGATGTCCGAATTAATATGCCCAGTTTTATTCTAATTAAATTTGGTTCTCTAATTTGGTTCTTTCTGAGCTAACTATCCTTGAAATTCTAAATAAGAATAATTTTTAATGACTCTTTGGTTCCCTGATGAATTCGTTCTGTTAAGCATTTCATGCTTGATCTTTATGCAAACTAATAATTTTACAATTTAGCAAGTGTAAGTGCCCAATGCAGACTGACCGTCGCTGCACTCCTCGCCGCCGCCCATCTTTTTGGCCAGGGCCAGCTGCGTCTGTCGCTCCAGTTCGCGGATATCCTCGATGGTCAAGCCGAACCATTCGTCCTGCCATGCCCACGCCTGACGATGGGCACGCAGCATCATCTTGCGCAGCGCCACGTCGTGGATGAACTTCTCCAGCTTGGTCTGCATGCCCCAGTAGCGGAACTCCACGCGGCAGATCTTGTAGGCGGTCATCAGGGACATGTTGCGCGGTGTTGGCTGCTTTTTGCCCTTCACTTCCCGCCAATACTCCTCCAGCCAGTCCTCGCCCAAGGGTCCACGGCCCGTCTTGTCCGACACAAAGTGCTTGGGATCCTCCTCCTTTACATAGTCGCCGCCCCACAGCTGGTCCTTCACAATGTCAATCACGTCTGCAAGGTGCAAGATGGTGGTATTAGAAAAGATACTTAAGCAAGTGGCTAATATTATTCATTATTCGTAAAACTCAGACCGACCCACGATGCGATTACGCAGATCGCTTCCGGACAGCTGAAAGACATTGTCCTGATAGCCATTGTCCGGATAATAGTATGTCTCAATGTCCAGCGAGAACTTCTCCACAAACGGACAGGTGTAGCGAGTCCTGGTATACGGATAGGCATTCCATGCCTCCTCCTCCACGGTTAAAGCGCTTTTCGGCAAGAGACCTTGGCAAACACAATCAAATAGTTACTCAACACGTGACTAGCTCGCAGTAATCAACTCACTTTTGATCCAACCAGGCAGATGATTGCCCACGTGATAGATCTTCTTTGTGTATTGACCATTTCCGCCGGGTCCATCCTTATACGGCTCATTGATGATTATCTCAACGCCACTGCCCTCGCCATGACTCTCCTCGCGACTCTTTTTCTGTGAATCGGAAATCAGTTTTGCAAGATTATTATGGCTCAAATAAAAATAAACTGCAGTTCCATCGAGCAGCACTCCGAGAATTTCCGGTGAACAACACGTTTCATAACTTTTCGCCATTGTAAATAAGTTCAATGTTCTAAGACGAATAAACAATTGCAGACACATTGTAAATTTTGTGACGATCAATATTGTTTAGCTTTTACACCGGAAATTGCAACCGTTAAATTTGTATATATTTTTGTTTGGAGCTATACAACAACTAGTTAGCTTGTTCGAAACCAATCAAGCGTAAACAGCCTTTGAAAACTATTTTTAAGTCAAAGAATTAGGCTGCATAACCTATTAGAGGTTGATAATCGAAAAAATTAAGGTATTACTGAAACGCTACTAGGCGAACTTCTATGTAACTTTGTCTTTGCCCAACAAATTTCATTTTCCTTCTGTATTTTAGTCAAAAGAAATAGGAATCCTCACCGCAATCATGTAGAGCTGGGCGATCCGGTACTCCTCGACGGTGAGGGGCAACGGAATGCGGTACTCCTTGATCAGCATGGTGATACCGCGTAAGTGGAGTCCTTGGCGTTGCAATGGGGGATTCCCCTTCCGGCTGGTTATTGATGCTTTGCGATTGGCGGGCTCTTCCGACGTTACTGACTCTTCCGGCGTCCTCCTTTCCGGCTGCCTCTAGTGGCTCTCGTTGGCTGAGGGAATGGCAATCATCGATTGCCGCCGCTGGTCATGGCTGGATGATGTGAAGGCGACGCGACGCGACGCGGCTGTCGTCCGACGTTCTTGTGGCGGGGGATTTGGGGGTGGGTGGTGGCACGTCGTCTATGACCTGGTCGAAATGGGGGAATCGGGAAAACGAGGCGGGGTTAGTCAGCGGGTCTATGGATAATTTTCCGGGGCCGTAGGTGTACAGTTCCAAATGTGTGCGTAGATGTGCTAGTTGCTATGGCTTCTGCCTGGTGCCTAACTGACATTAAAGTGAATGGGCGCCCAGAAAACTAAAATTTGCACAGCCCTAGGCGGAGTTGAAAAGTTACTTCAAGGTTGGGAACGTGTTCGTTGGAATTTGTATTTTGTATATTTTGTTGTGCGATTATCTAAAAATATGCGCAATTTTTGCTGTTTGCCAAATGAAAAATCAAGTAATAATCCCCAAAGTTATTAGCTATAAACGAGCTGAAAAGATTTAAATAGCACACAAAATGTTTTGCAAATGCAATTAAAACAGGATATACACATTTCACATTCTGCAAATTATAGTGTACTATTCAGAATCATTGGCTTTAAACAAGCGGAAAAGGAAAGCCAAGTTTTTAAAATAGACCACAAGAGCGATATAGTGAGTTCTAAACTGCAAATTACCATTTTATTTATTGATTTCGAGTGACAGCGAAATGGGGACATGAAAACGAGCGGGGGAAGTCTTTGACAGGCACTTTGGATAATCGGATGTGACTTGAGGGCTCTCAGGGGTTCTGTTTTTGTTTTTTTTTTTTAAGCGGAACGAGGGCCAGTGTCAATTAAATGCCAACAGCAAGAAGTGAGTCTCCGATAAGGTCAAGTACGGTATCGCATTTCGCAAAGAAAACCAAAGAACTACTTGTTCAACCTTCTTCACTATCAATTTAGCATGTTCCCTTGCCCATTTCACTCCTTTCTATTTCAACGAAATGCAAAAATAATGCATTTGTTACTTATAAAGCTCGCTTGGATTTGAAACTGGCCAGCTCTGACGGAAACGAAGCCAACAATTCAGTTTATCGTGGATAATTTGGTTGCTGTTCTTACCTTGAACCATTTCTACTTTTCCTATCTTTTTGCTAATTGGATTTATTGTTGACTGCTGACAACAGCAATACCAACTCAGGTGGTCGGTCTTGAGGGGCAGGAGGTGTGGATATACGTATGTATGTATATGTATAGCTACGTAGGATGTCGGCTGACGCATTTGCATCGCATTTTGACCTATTGGAATGTGGCTCAGACTGGGAGGATGGCTAATATAGGGGGTGGTAAGGTGGGCGGACTAACACGTGTTTGGGTCGAGTGCTGTTTGAGTACAATCAGCGATAGAGGAATTATCGTTTTGACTGATAATAAGGGTGATGAATTCCCGTGCAGAAATATTAATTAGTTTCGTATCAAGTAACTACGGTACGCATTGCTTAAATGGAACTGCACTGAACATTTTTATTAAATGAAGAGTTTGTTTATGTTTGTCATAACCATATTAAGCCATTTCTTCGAAATTATTACTTTATTTATATTTCTCACTCTTAGAAATCTGAGTGCAATCTAAGTAAGTTAACAAAGTCACAATATTACTTGGCATTTTGCACAGCACACTGTGCTTCCAAGCTGTGAACTTTCATTGCTAATGACCTTCATTAGACTCCTAATCTGTTTAGATCTTATCTCGCATTTATCTCGACCACAAATTTGTACAGCTACTCATTAAGTGCTAGACTACTTTTTGATTGGAGCTCTTTGTGTTGCTGCGATGGTCGGAAAATGGGGATGGGGATTTTGTAAATTGATGTTGCGCAAAAGTTCAGGTTTACATTTTTACGATGGGATCAAGAAAACCAACTGCAAATCGAACTGTAAAATGTCTAATATATAAAACCTATTGACGCTACAAGTTATTACTACAAAGCAGCTCTTGATATATGTAGTTACAATATTATAGCAAAATTTGTTTAGACTGTGGTATATATAGAATAGCATATAGTATGATTGCGATAAGATCCGGATAGACATTGCGGGGACAGTGGGAGGCGATGCTATAATAAGAGGCACAATAAAGAAGGACAGTCAATCAATAATTATTGGGCCCAGCGGGCAGCGGGGGAGGAAGGCACACGAACACAAACACAGACATGCACATGTTTATGTCATGCCAGTTACATGGCAGGCCGTAACAAATCGTAAGCCCCAACAATATGGCTACCGCTTTCTTTTGCCTCCTCACCCCGCCACGCCCCCTTTTGGCTCAGCTTTCTACACCCCTTTTATCTTTTGCCTCCTTAGCATAATTACATTTCGTGGCACAGAAAAAGCGACGACAGATTTTCTTTGCTACCCTGGGTCAGAGGTTATCGAAATTAATAAAAATTTCTGTTGAGCAGGCAAAAATAAAAATATGCAGTTAGCACTATATAAAGAACGCCAAATTGCTAAATTCTGATTACAACTGCAATTACTTTTCCCACTTTGATATTCATACTTTGTCGCCATTTCTAAAGAACACAAGAAAGTTCATATAAGAAAATACCTGCAGTTAAAAGAGATAAGGAATGTTAATATTCACGATGAGAAAAAACTTTGCAGCGATAAGATTTATTACAATGGAGCTTCCTTGATGGGGGCCTATAAAAATGGACATTATTTATGATTCCATTTAAATCTTTTTATTGGGGAGGGAGGGCAGTTTGGCGCATTTGAAAAATCTAGACTGGAATCCAACATTTTTGAAAATGATCGAGCAACCAGAGATGGATTATCGACCCACTGTGCATCAATAAACAAATTACAAACGCACACATGTGCTGGCTATAAAAGAGCCGGCCAAAGTGCACGTAGCCTTCAATGTGGTTGCTTATGATGTATTTTGTCATTTAAAAAATGTTGTTTATGATGTGACCAAAGGGTAATGCAAGGGTATGCACACGGAGAAAAAAAATAGATGTTTTTTATTCATTATTATTAAAATCTAAAATATTTGGTATTCATTATTATTAAAATTTAATGAAAGTGGCCATAATATCCATGTTCTATTCTTGATACGAAATGCTATGATATAATTCTACTTGTAAGCTTTGAAGTTTAAGCAATTTCTGAGATTGATTGGTATACTTTTTTTTTCGTGTAACATCGTAAGATTAAGATAGGTCAAATTCCACGTTTTTATGCACAAAGCCACTTTTTTTATTAAGTCTGCCAGACAGAAACTCAAATAGAGCACAAATGTAAAATGGCAAAAATAGAGGAAATAAATTTGCGCAATTGTTGCAACATCAAAAACGCCAAGCTGATAAATAAATTGCCATGGTAATTGGCCAAGAAATACAATACATAAAAAATAAAGGTGTAGAAAAAAGTGCAAAAAACGGTAATAAAACGAAAAGAGGCAACACAAAAGACGCACTCAAGCGGAAATAAATGAACGCGTTTGTGGAACAGAGACAGAAGTAGAGGGCATGCGATGCAATGAAAGCAAAGGTTGAAAGAAAGCCTATTAAATCCGAGTCTCAAGTTTAGTGCGCTAAATTAGATGGAAAGGAGCTAAAAAAGGTTACTCTCGCCCACTCTCCCCGCCTCGCTCACTCCTTCGTACACACCTGTGGCACGCTTTGTGCTTATTAATAATTTATAAATACAACAAGCATCAAAAATAAGAACACAACAAACGTATTTCTAGGGTTCATATCTCAAAAAGTGCCACATTCATTTTACGACAAGTTCCTTTCTTATGAGCTTATTAGGAAGTAAAATTCCTAACAATATTAATCATGAGAAATTCATAATCTGTATATTATATTATATTTAATGCTGATACTGGTATAGGACCAGTGATATTCAATAAACAATTGCATTTTTATATAAATGTATATAGAATCTATAATAGACTTTTCAAAAGGCGATGCTTTAATAAACTTTATCTGATTTATAAAAGTGCAAAAGTCCGAAACACAACAAACAAGGCTTTGCGTGAAAATTACGCATGGAAAATTCTTATCACAGACTTGTTGTTGTTTGTAGAAGAGAGCAAGAGCTAACGGGACCTTGATTTGACACACACACACATACACAAACTCGACGCAGCTTACGCATTTACGCAGCTGCCACCCACCCACACACACACACACATATACACAAACACCCGAAGTATCCTTAACAAATTTTGAGCATTTTGTTGTAAACTACATATTTCATTTTGTTACAAATGAAGTAGAAAAAATAGCAGCAGTGGGCAACGCACCAACCCAACTTTCAGCGGGCCAACTCACATTATTATTATTCGCAGGCGGGCAGCTGGACAATTAACAACAAAAGAGTAAGGCCCAAAGCGCAAAGAAGAAACAAGAAAAAAACAACGAACAACGCACAACAAAATATAAATATACAGTGGATATTTGTGGACTCGATGGGGCGATTAATACAATTTATCTATTCATTTTCTTCGGGGCGCTTTTCCAGGCCGCAGATGAAAAATGTTTTCAGCGTTGTTGCTGCTTGCCTTGCGTTTGCTTATTTCTTTTTGCAATCAAAACGTACACACTGAAAAAAAACAGCGTGCGCTGCGCGGCGGCAAACTTGCGACTCGGCTCGCGTTTGATTCCGAACTGAAGCAAGATGAACCAAACCGAAATGAACTGAACGGGACGTCGAAAATTAAACGAAGCTTTTCGAAATCGAAATGAGCGGAGAGAGCAATTTCGACATTTGGTGCTCTTCTCTTTCGCATCAAGATTTTTCGAATCGCGCCCAAAAGTATGCATGAAATGATAATAATACTACTTTAAGTTACGTTGTGCCAATAACCGTTAGTTGTTTACCTTTCTTTTTATTGCATTTTTAAAAACCCTGTGAGTGCAGATAACAAGATAAGCTTAACGGCGCATTCCGCTCGGTCAGAGTGAAAGCAAACATGTCACGACATGCACAAACAAAAGACGCCAACTGTTGTCATTCAGCTCCCTTTTTCGCTCTATCTTTCGCTCTGCTGTTTTCACTGCCCTTTCTAGTTTGTCTATTGCATGTGATAAAGTTCAACTTTGGCATTTACACCGCGCATGTCCCAAAAAAAGGAACAATTGAGTTTGCACAGGTTGGCAAGTGATTTTTGAACGTGCAAGCGCTAACGGTAAACTGAATGCCAGTTTTAATTGAGTGCACTTCAAGTGGGCGTACATGAGATGGAAATCTAAAGTTCACAAAATGCTAATTAATTACTTCGTTTCAGAAGCATCTTGGCTGCTAATTAAATGCAAGCTGCACAGCTTATTAAATATGTATGTCTATTAATGAATTTTAATTTTTTTTTGCCTTCTTCATTATATGCACTTACTTTCGAGTTCTTTCACATCTATAGACATTCATTAGGTGTCATAATGGTATTTTTAGGCACCTGTTTGCTTTTTTTGTACCGTGTTGTTTTTTGGCTAAGCATCTGCTTAAGATCACCTGTGATATGTGCATTTATCTTTTTATTATTAGCTCACTTAAGTTGTTTGTGCGATTTACTATGATAAATATGTTTGTATATTCTCGTATGTTTGCTTTAAAATCCCTGAATACTTCAGTTGGGGGCCAAAAAAAAGTAATCTAAAAGTTAGTTACAAAGTTAGTTCATTGGCGATAACGAATAAATGCCATCAATTAAAAAACTTGACTTTTCGTAAATTTGCAGCTTTATTTTTATGGGGTTTTATAGGTTTTTTTTTTGGTTGTTTAATGAGACTTCTAAACTAAACTACGCTTTCCAGGTCTATTCTGAGTATCAGAAAGTGCGTGGCGATCAAACTTCCCTGCTTTCCAGGAGGCGGAGCGCCCTAGTTCTGGGCGGGGTGCACACCGTGGTAGGTGGCCTGCTTTTGGGCGGGGCTGCGCTGACCGAAGGGGCTCTTGGGGTTGACCTCCAGGATGTAGTCACCGCGCAGATCGTAGTCGACCTGGAGACCCATGTAGGCACGCTTGCCGAAGCCATCCTGCTCCTTGTACTGCTTCAGGGAGTTGGCGGGAACGGCGGGGAAGTTGCGCTCGCTACCGGGACGCACGGACTCGGCAAAGTAGCGGGTGGCACGGGCCACAGCCTCGATCACATTCTGGGATCCGGGAACAGCGGTGGAGGGTCCATTGGGGTAGAAGTCAACATCGCCGCAACGGATGGGGGTGCCCATGGCGAAGGCCGAGGTGTGGATGGCATCCACGAAGTCAGCATCGCCGCGGGAAAGGCCACCCAGGGTCTGGGGACGCTTGGACAGCACCTTGGCGGGATCCAGACCGGTGATGCGGCGCAGCTTGTGTCCAGTTTGGGCGGTGTACTTGTTGCCAGCGGCTCCGGCCACATGGGCGCTGATTCCCTGGCCGATCAGGTGGATGATCTCCTGGGGCACACCCTGGTTGGTCAGATCAATGAGGGTCTGGCCGATCATGGCGCCGGTGTTCTGCACATCCAGCATCGCGTAGCGCTTGAAGTTGGTCAGGGTGGAGCCGAGGTCGATGATCTGCAAGTTACATTTAATAAATACAAATTTATCATATGTAAACAGAGATATTAAAAATAACAAAGCAGTAAACTTACGATCAAATCGCCGCTGGCGGTCTTGGCCGATTTCCATTGGTCGGCGGCCTCCTCGCTGCTGGTGTAGTCGTAGTCGCTGTTCTTGAACTGCTGCTGCTGCTCCTGGGCGTTCTTCTGCAGCTGCTGGAGGTTGTACTTCTGGACGTAGGCCTGGATCAGATTGCGCATGGCCTTCTTCTGGGCGGGACTGCTATGGGGCAGACCGGTCAGGACAATGGTGACCTCATCCTCGCCGAATCCGGGCTGTGCCTTGGCCATCTCCACGTAGTTGTTCAGCTTGCACTCGACCTTCTTTCCGTTGGACTTGACGATCCACACGGGCACGTTGCTGGGGCTGGGCACAAAGGTGGGGGTCAGATCGTACTTGATTTGGCCGACGTGGTCTGGGGATCCAATGGCAATAGCCAGTTAAAAGCTCAGTAAATGGAATATAGTTGAATAGAAATCTCTGGAGATTTGCAAGGCATTCACCGATTTAAATACAACTCTCATACAATACAACCTCCAGAGATTTGCCGTACAATGATTTCTACTCACAGATCTTCTCGATCACCTTGGCGGCCTGCTCCAGGGGCTGGTTCTCCAAACGCTCCCAGGTGATGTCGTTGAGGGAGGGCACGTTCTCCAGCTCGGAGGAGGTCAGCCACTTGGTGGGCTTCAGCTGGCTGTTGAAGCCATCCTTGGAGGCATGGGCCGCCACCAGGAGGCAGGTGGCCAGCAGGCAAAGGCGCAGACTCATCATGGTCGTCGGGAACCGGAATTGGATCAGATCAGGCCAAACGTTGAACGACGTTTGATGGCTTCTTCCAGCCCCATCTCTGGCTTATATAGCTCCCATTCCATAGCTGTGCCAACTATTTTCTGCTGACCACAGGAAGTCGTCGTTGTCGGCTGTCTAGCTTCTAGTTTTTTCCACCCCTTCGTTCTGCTGATCTGTCGCCAGTATTAAAGTGCAAGTCAAGGGAAAATTGCATTTAACCGATTTATTACACATGTGTTTGCCAATAGTTCTCTTATCGCAAAAAGGTTTTTGAACCTCTTCACACTTGGCAAAAAGTGCGAAAGAGATCCATTCATAAAGTGGTAAGCTTCAGATTATCGGAAAATCGTTGATTACTAACATTAAAACGTACAATTTAAGGCAGTAAATATTTCTGTACTATTAGCACTATGTGCTTATGCTGCATATTATTGTTTGGTTTTCTTTACTTTATTAATTGGATCACTGTTCCATATTGTAGCTTATAGTTACGAAAGTCCTTTCAATCGACTTAAATTTTTGTTCTCTGCACTTAAATTGTAATCTGGCACGATTGATTAAAACAGCTTCTATAGATCCCTTGATTAGACTTGACCTGGCAACAAAATTGCAACACCTCCGTCAAGTGAGGGACTGGTGTGACCCGGCTTTGACCTCCAGCGATTGGAACCCGGCCAATTTCGAATCAATGACTAGCCAGGTGAATACCTATACTTATGTATATATTTATATGCAAAAGCATTGCAAGAGCTCTTGTAGTCTATGGCCTCATAAATATGCAATCAAAACATAACTACATTATAAATATATTATGTGTCTGCCTCAACAATAATGCTAATGCCTAAGTTGCATAAAATCGTATTCCATAAAAATGAAAATAACTAGCTTATGTGAGAATTTTATAAAAAAAAAAGTTAAAATATTTGTTTTTTTTCGCATGGTCACTTTACTACACTTGATATTTGAATTATTTTATTCTCTAACCCAGCGTTAGAAACTTACACCCACGTTAAAATACATGAATGTAATCCATAACTTGTTATAAAAAAAATAAATGTTATTCATACAAGTTTTAGCCTAAAGAACAGTTTATGTAACGCGCTTATTGATGTTCGTGTAGCCAATCCCGACACATGCCATAAGGACCTTCTGGGCACCACGCACATCCTCCGCTTCGTCCTCGTCCTCCACCTCGGGATTCTCCAGCTTGAAGGTGATCGAGAAGAAGTCGCGCAGATGTTGCAGAAAGTGAACGGTGTAATTGGACAGGGCACCTGTAGCAAGTTAAATAAAATCCACATAATAATCACACATGATTTAGTTATGTTCACATTGTTCACATTACCTGTGAGGAATTTGGAGACATGCTTTTGCCCCAGTGCTATATAGAGTGCTGCCAGCCATTGATAACTGGAGTCCACACAGCCACCTCGATAAATCTCGTCCAGCAAACGCAGAGCCACCTCTTTGCCTAGATCCTCGGGTATCGTCGGGGTATCCTTTGAATAAAGAGATAAACGTTTAGTTTACAATATTGTGCAAGCAACAAACTACCAATTGAATGGGGGTAAATGGGCAACATCTTTATAATAGATAAATTTGCTGACTACATAGATGATTTTACTCACCGACTCCTCCCTTGTGTTGGAACAGCAATCGGCGGCGAAGCACACACCGTCCGTCGTCTCTGCAATCAGGCAAATGCCAAATCCAGGTGAATTACCGGACATCTTGCCCTTGTTCTGATCTGTGTAGATATAGACATCCGGCAGGAACTTTAGCATACATCCCTTAGCCGCCTCCACGGTGCGGTTGGCCAACGCCGGAGAAACTTTGCAGGCATAAACAGTGCCCCGGATACGTTTAACCATGCCCTGTGACTGGAATTGAATGGCTCGCAGGCTCTTTCGCACCGGACACCTGAAGATGATCTCTCCGCCGCCCAGAGGAGCAGCTCCTCGCCGAACAACCTTGAGTTCGAGGCCCTCGTCGACTAGGAGGAATCGCTTGAGCAGGGATAGGGCTGCACCCTTCATGTGGTCCACGGATGGCGAGTCCTTGCTGTTGGTCACACCGCGCAGGGTGCACTGTAGCGGATTCTTGCAAAATGGGCCCAAGGCTATTAGGGCGTCCAGATAATAACCAATTCCACGCTGGACACAGCAATCATGATGTATCTGACCGCCATGCAGTAATCCTGGTGAGAACATGACACTCGTGCCGGCGGGATTCAATTCGATCTTGGTTCCATTGGTAATCTTGTCCAGCAGGCGGATTAAACTTATCTCGTATTCACGCAGACCGGGTGCCGTTTCGTCCTCCGAACGGATTTGATTGATCTTCACCGGTTTCCCCGACAGACAGGCGAGGATTAGGCGCTGCTTGAGGAAGTTGCTGCCGCGGTAAATGAGGCAATTGCCCTCCTGGGCAATGGGCGGCATCTTAGAGGCTTCAAATGCTCCTATTATTCAAGAAATTCAACAAAACGCTCGCTGCACGTGCGTTGAAGGAGGTAAACAACGGCTATCGCCGGATTATCGCTTATCGATATACAAAACAGTGTGGCAACGCGTTTTAGGGCTGTCGAGCAATGCAATTATCGCCTTTAGTATATAGCACAATAAATTAGTATATCAGAAAGAATATATTTTATAAGAATATGCACGTGCATTACAAACATATAATATGTTAATATTTTAACTTTTATAGCTAAAAATTCAGTTAACTTCTATAAAAAATACCAAAACCTGTAGGAGATTTTATTTGTTGTATGATGACTACCCTGTCTTATTTGCAATCGAAATCGATCAATTCAATTTGAAGGTGGCGGAGCAGGATTATAGAAGGCAAGCAAAACTGGTCGTAAAAATGTCTGCGCTTCCAAATTTTGAGGAGTATGTCGTGTGTCCATACGATAGCTCTCATCGTATATTGCCGGTCCGCTTGACCTATCATTTGACTCGTTGTGCCAAGAACTTTCCGTCGTCCAAATTAGTCCGCTGTCCATATAATACCACCCATCTACACTCGGCTGCCGATATTCGGGTGGGTCCAACTATCCGGAATTTATACATAAGTACTTATTTAATTCATTTGTTTATCCCATTTGGCAGAATCATGTCATCGAGTGCCCTGATCGATCGACCGCGGAACGCTTCATGTTGCCGGACGTATTGCCGCCTGCGGAACCGCGAGCACGTGAATTTCTGATCGAATCTGCTGAGGACTGGGATGCCGATCCGCCAGTTCAGACTTACAATCCGGCTACTTACTGTGAGAACGCGCTCGTCATCCGTAATCTGCAAGGAGCTCAGCCCGCCGTTCGCCGGGCATTCCGCGAAAGCGAACGCCGGCGATTCAGGGAAAAGAATCAGCTTTAGATGCTCCATGTTACGTTCCATGATACCTACATATTAATATACATATACACAATATTACAACCCATACAACATACATATCTACATAAAGCGATCGTTTTAAGTTCTTAAATACGTACATTTGTATGTAATTTGATACATTTCCAAGAAGGAGCAGCGGTCTGGCGTTTTTTTTGGTGTGTTATCTTAAGTCAGCGTATTTTTGTATACATATTGTTTTGTCATAAAATAATAATCACACTAAAAATCATTCTAGGAATCTTTAAAATATAATTTCTTTAATTTTCATATGGTAATTAAGATTACAAATAAAGAAAGATCATCTGAAAACATTATTAACAGTAAATTAATTTTTGTTTTCTTATTCACCGCTTTCTGCCGCTACATGGAAATGTACCGCAATTTCACATAGCTGCCACCCTGTTCAAAATTCTTAGAACAAGAAATGGATAATATAATAAGAATTAACTAATTTTTATGTTTTTAATCTTTATTGCATAAAATACTACCATTGAACAACATATCAAGTATATATATAGTTCTAGAGCGTAATATGTCGTTTTTATATACATACATAGTATGTACATCCATATATTGTCAGCATTCTTTATAAAAACCGCTAGTTTAAGGAGCTGCCACGCTGTTTGACGATTTCTAGAAGTCATCAAACCTGAATGGTTCGTTTAGATAGTTTTTCTTATAAGCTAACTTTAATAGGCTAGTATTTGTATTTTTATTTAAAAACTTTTTAAGAAATGCCCCATTTTAAGATGGAGCTTTCACCACTTGCGCTTTTAAAATCTCGCGCCTAAGCAGAAATTGAACAGTCTGGCAGCACAGCCTGTCCGAAAACGATATAAAAGCCCACGCCGCGACGCTCTCTCGCTCAGTCAAGTTGATTTTTCACGGCGTGGTGTTGTGTGCGTTACTGGTTCCTTATTCTGCGGTTCTCCAATCCTTTTTGCTGCAATCAAACTGAAAAAGAAATCAAAAGTTCACACTGCTTAGCGATAAAAACAACAAAAGCGAAGGAGCATCAGGCAAAAAAGAACAAACAACAACAATAGCAGCAACAGCTCCCCCACACACGCAACTGAATGGTTGTGGGTGTGCGAGTGTGTATGCGTATGTAAAGGAGCCTTTTAGTAAACACTCACACACATGTGAATTTTTTTCTGTGAGCCACAAAAGATTTGAGTGCATTTTTTGCCATTTGCCTTGCCAACCCCTCTCCCTTCCACGCCAATAAGAAGAGAAAGAGAGGGAGGGAAAAAAGGAGCCCACGAAGAAAAACAACAACTATTAAACAGGCTCTTCAGCGTATAAAAGCAGCGCAGCCGTCGTCGACGTCGACTGCAGTGGGCCAACGTTGTTGCAGTCGTGTCGTTAGTTGTTGTTCTTGTTGCAGCATCGAAGACAGAAGTAGAGAGAGCGAGCGAAACAGCAGGAGAGACAGAAAAGCACTTAGGTAAGTGGCAAAATAAAAAAGAACGAACAACATCAGCAGCAGCAGCAACAACATGATCTTGACGAAGACCAATTCAAAGTAAAAAGTGAAAAACTGCCGGCGAATGCGAATATAAAAGCAAAAAACGCAAAACAAAATTACAGTCGCGGTCACAATATGATGCCATATTAGATGTTTTCCAGAAATTGTGCAATTTTAAATATTTGTATTTTGAAATATATTTTGATGCGCGGCATTTGATCCAATTGGAAAACGGTGGTGTACGTGATAAAAACAACCGGCACGCACGCACGCACCCGAAAATTCGAGAAAAACAAAAACCGAAAAAAAGCAGCTGCCCACATGGGTTGGGGGTGAATTTGTTTGGTTTTTTTTTTGCCTGGCAAACTTGTTCCTTAGGCATTTTGTTTTTATTTTCGTTGTCTTGAGGTTTATTTGCATTCGGCGCCCCAATGTTTCCATGTCATCCGATTTTGTTTTCTCATGTTATATTTGTCCAACAGAAATGCGGACACACAGTGATGGCAAAATTTACTTTGCATAATTAACAATTATCCAAGTATTTAACAAAATCAGATTATAGTACAATTTACATGAAATCTTAACTCCAAGAATGTTCTTACAAAAAAATTCAATATGATCCACGAGATTTTATAAGATGGTTTGTGTATGCATGATAGGTTTATTTGTTTTTAGTGCTCTGGAAAAGGAGTTTTGCAAATAATTCCAGGCCAGACAAATCCATGAATTTAATTTTCTCTGGTTACTGAATGCCAAAAGTATACCGATCTCTGTTTGAAGGAATACACAAACATCATATGTCTGCTGTAGAAAAAAACGTATGTGATTCCAATTTGGTTATTAATTTCTTTCATAACTAATCACACAATTCCTAAGTGTAACTAATAGTTCGACGTCTTCTGTTAAACAAAAAACAGCATACATTGTTGCGAACGTCTCTGCTTCTTTTTCTTGTTCTTTTTATTGGGCATTCCTTCCTTTTTGCGAAATATTTGCGACGCAATTTCGACAGCGTCACTTTTATGCTCTTTTCTCCCCACTTCTATTTCCCTCTTCTCTTATCTCTGTCCCTTTCTCCCCAGCTCAACCATTTTCCTGATTTCGGGGTTAAAAAATAATTTCGGACACGCATCAATAAAAAGCGCGAAGGAGGAACAGGAATGGAAGCAAATGCCGAAAAATGTTTATTTTGTTGTTATCCGAAAAAGGGGGCACAACAAGTGCGAAAGAAGAAGAAGCAGACGAGGAAGAGACTGGAAGGAGACGGCAATAAAAACATAGAAATTCGTAAGGCGCACTAAATTTTCAAGGTTAAACCGGGCAAAACAAACATAAAACCGGTAACAGCATATGTATGTAGATGTACGTATGTATTTACAGAGGGGGAAGTACATAAGAATCAGCAGTTAAAGAAGAGGAGAAAGCACAAGCGGCGCAATATAAAAAGCACACACAAAATAACAACACATGAAAACAAAAACAACACATACGTTATCTTTGTTTTCATTTGCACATTTATGCTTTATATAAATGGATGGAAGAAGCGGAGGAGAAGAGTGCATAATTGACAATTTTACAACCGAAAATTGCGATACTTATTCAGCAAATTTATTAAACGGACCAGTGTATGTACATCATTTGAATGAAACATACAATATGTTCATGTTATAATTACTTTATTTTCATGTTGGTTTGTTATTGTATTAATGATTTTGTTTGTGCATTTACCCTAAAATTGCCACATAGCATAAAAATATTGAAAATACATAATTAACACAAAAACAAAAGCAGCTGGGAGAGTAAAAGAAATCTATGTAAGCATTTATATAAAACAAAAACAATCACAGGCAGGGAAGTATAAACTACTTTCAATTTAGAGTTGGTGCAAAGGAGATGGCTATATTGCTTGTGGGGGTTGCAAAGCTTTAACGGTAACGAAATTATGTAGTACCTTCGGTGTTGTTGTTGCGTGACCTTGAATTTTGTCTATAGGGGAGTTTCGATACATGTCCATATCGCTATCCCTGTCACACCCACGCCCATTGACAAACATTTGCAATTTCCAAGACGCAGTACCGTTATATACAGATGTGGTCATAAAAATGGCGCTAAAGCTTAACATATTGTTGTTAATATATCTTTAAAATGAAAAACTACTGTCTTCTTTTCAAAATTGTAAAAAAATTTTGATATATCTAAAAAAAAAAGAAGCCCATAAAATTCCGACCCAAGCCATTTAAGCTTAGTATGTTCACTTTTGATCTTGTCATTACTATGTATTATTGTGAATATAAAATTTATGGGCATGCCAAAGAGCTTATTCTAATTTAAGCAAAACTATTAAATCTTGTTATTCAGAAAAAATAATGCAAAACGAACTTGGTTTTTGAAGGGGCATTGTCGGCTACGTGCCAGACATCAGTGTATTTATTTTAGTTCCATGTATTCCATAACCGCGACACACAATAACAAATAAAACTTTAGCCGGCGAGCATTCCTTCTTTAAGGCGAGACATGTAATTATACAAACGAAAGCGATTCCTTAGATTCCATGAACGTCCCAATATACATATGTATGTACATATTCTATATGTATGTATGTTTTGCCAAGAGTCATAATTCACCGAATTGCACCGAAGACTATCCCTTTAACGATTAAATAGCATATTCATAAACAAATTGAGTGGAGTTCCAGTTGCCAGAGCCCCTGCAATTATACTTTGATTTTAAATTGTTTGTGCCAACTTACTGCTTTGATGTTAATCAACACCCTTTCCCCATCTACCTATTGCAATTTATTTATAGATAAATAGAACGCACCTGGTGCCAGAGTACAAAACCCAAACCTCTACAATATCCGTGCTGTGCATTCCAAGGGGATAACGAGGAACGTGTATCGTAGAGTTTGAGAACATCGTCAGTATGGAAGTGGAATTGAATAACAAACGTGCCACCAATGGCGGCCGTCACTCCACTCCACCGGCGGAGTCCGATTCCAAGGAGAGCTCCGTCGAGCGGGAGCTGAACGGAGAGATCCAGGCAGTGGAGCTGAATGGGAGTGGTGGCAGTGGTCACTCGAACGGGCATATCAAGAAGCCGCTGCCTGTCGAGGACGTCAGGATTAAGCGTAAGGCCAAGCGGTTCATCCAAAGACAGAATAGTGGCTCCGGCGGCAGTCCCAATCAAACCAATGGCAATGGAGCTGCTGCCGCTGGCGGAGCAAGTGCAATGCCGCTGGCAATCAACGGCATCATACCGTCGCCCGGTGGCTATGTGGTACCACATCGCCGCTGGAAGAACAGCCGTCGTTCGCGAAATCTCAATCGTGGTCGCGGACTGCCAAAGAAGGGCGGTGGCGGCGGCAAGGGCGTCTGGGGATTGCCCGGTTCGGAGGCGCTGGCCGAGGTCTATGAGGACGAGAATGATCCCAACTATGATAGTGAGTGCAACGATCGTAATGTGGAGCTGCGCGAGGTGATTTCTGAGATTACACCCGAGGAGTTCTTCAAGCTTGCGGAGCCCATTGTCTTGGAGTATTATGAGCACGGGGATCCGCACGAGGTGGCACTGAGCTTCGATGAGATACTGCAGGGTCCATTGCGCGAGCACATCACCAGCATTCTCGTGGAGATTGCCATGGATCACAAGGATTCGCAGCGTG